CTTTCTTTCTTTCTTTCTACTTTTTCTCCCTTTTATTCTGAGCCGTGTGGATGAAAAGCTCTTGATGCTGCAGCCAGGAGTCAGTGCTGTGCCTCTGAGGTGGGAGAGCCAACTTCAGGACACTGGTCCACAAGAGACCTCCCAGCTCCACATAATATCAAAGGGCGAAAATCTCCCAGAGATCTCCATCTCAACACCAGCACCCAGCTTCACTCAACAACCAGCAAGCTACAGTGCTGGACACCCCTTGCCAAACAACTAGCGAGACAGGAACACAACCCCACCCATTAGCAGAGAGGCTGCCTAAAATCATAGTAAGTCCACAGACACCCCAAAACACACCACCAGACATGGACCTGCCCACCAGAAAGACAAGATCCAGCCTCATCCACCAGAACACAGGCACTAGTCCCCTCCACCAGGAAGCCTACACAACCCACTGAACCAACTTTAGCCACTGGGGACAGACACCAAAAACAACGGGAACTACGAACCTGCAGACTGCAAAAAGGAGACCCCAAACACAGTAAGATAAGCAAAATGAGAAGACAGAAAAACACACAGCAGATGAAGGAGCAAGAAAAAAAGCCACCAGACCTAACAAATGAAGAGGAAATAGGCAGTCTACCTGAAAAGGAATTCAGAATAATGATAGTAAAGATGATGCCAAATCTTGGAAATAGAATAGACAAAATGCAAGAAACATTGAACAAGGACCTAGAAGAACTAAAGATGAAACAAGCTACGACGAACAACACAATAAATGAAATTAAAAATACTCTAGATAGGGCTCCCCTGGTGGCACAGTGGTTGAGAGTCCGCCTGCCGATGCAGGGGACACGGGTTCGTGCCCCGGTCCGGGAAGGTCCCACATGCCGCGGAGCGGCTAGGCCCATGAGCCATGGCCGCTGAGCCTGCGCGTCCGGAGCCTGTGCTCCGCAACGGGAGAGGCCACAACAGTGAGAGGCCCGCGTATCGCAAAAAAAAAAAAAAAACCTGAGTCCTTTGGGAACTGTGTTGTATCATGCTTCTGCAGGTAGGAAGTGAGGATATGAAAGATGGAGTGGTTTGAAACTGAGGTAAGAAGTTGCCGAGGAGCCAGAAGCCAGGGATCTGGTGCATAAGCCTGACTCACAGACATGGTTGAAGATGTAGGAAAGAGACAATAGAGTCTTTATTACAATAATAACTCCAATGTTCTGAGTGCTTTATGAGCAACCTAAACTGCTTAAGTTCTTTATCTAATTTTTCTCATTGAATCATCTCTCTTAGATATGAAAGAGCAACTCTTTGGAGTAGAAACTATTAACCCTACTGTGTGTCGGGGATAGATAGAGAGATGGAGCCTTGCCCAAAGTCACACAGTTAGCCTCCATTCATAGCCACATCAATCTGACTCCAATGTCTGTGTTCTAAATGACTCATCCCCACTGTCGCCACTATTCTGATAAATGTGACTATAGCTATTGAAATCCTAAACAAAATCCTAGTGCATAGAGTTCAGAAAACTGTTAAGATTTGTTTAATTGATAAATATATTTATCCCCTAAAAAATGCAGAGAGAGTTCAACATAAGGAAATCTGACAATCTAACTTAACACATCAAGGTTGTAGATAAGATATGGGAATAAAATCATACAAATCACAAGCAGATTTGAATCCTAGCTCTGACATTTGCTATTTGTGTGACCCATCCATCAAACAAATACTACCTACTATGCTCCACAAACTGTATTAGACACTGTGTACATGGTAAATAAGGCAAACATGATCCCTGTTTTCACCAAGAGTTCATTCCAATTATGTGGTTGTTAAAAGAAAATAGGCATCTCTAAATGTACTTCTTTGAGTAATTTCTGAGATATGTTGTTTAGCAAAGAAGCAAGTGACAAAAACAGTACATAGAATGCTACACAAAATAATTTTGTAATGCTATACCAAGAATGCAATATAAAAAAGTGTATGTATATATACACTTTCTTATATGTTCTTAGATATAATCAAATTACCTCTGGAAGGATACACAAGAAACCTGTAAGAGTAATTCCTTCTGAGAGAGACAAATGTGTCAAACTTGGCAGACAGGAATAAAAATGGTATGTTAGAGATTGCTGGTTGTTTCCCCAATGCCCCAATTCTTCCTTAGTAACAAAAAAACATTATTTTATTTGGGTACTCATGTATACTGACAAAGTACTATACCTCTCAGATTCCAAATGTTAGTAGATGTCATTTTACAAAGTTTCCAAGAAAACTCTCTAATGTGAACTAACTCAGCTGAGACATGAAGGTCATTTACCCTCCCTGCTTCCACATGGAACAGGCACAGGATTGATGCCTGAATTTCTAGCAGCCACCTTAAACTATTATATGCAGGCAGAAATAATACTGATATAGAGAAAGAATTACTTTTACTGAATACCTTTTTTAATTTTTAAAACTTTGAACTACATGAATATATTTTCTATTTCTTAATTAAATATGTTTTAATTTTATTCTTTTGATCATACAGTTAAAATGCAGAAAGCTTTGGTAATTTTACAAAAGAAAATATACAAAATCCTGTCATATGCCATCATAGAGCATTATTACGGGAGCATTACTTTAGATAAGTGGGATCAAAAAGGCCTTAAGGAATAGAGATATGATGAATGGGAAGAAAAACAAGAGTAGAAGCAGAGAAGCCAGTCAGAAGACTATTACTTGGTCCAGGCAAGAGATGGTGGCCTGGACCAGACTGGTGGCAGAGGAAATAAATTTGAGTGGCAAAATTTTGGAAGAATAGTCAAGTAAATATACAGATGAATTAGAAATGAGGTATTCAATGTAGAAATCAAATATAATTCTTAGGATTCTCTGATAACCTGGTGGATATGGACCCATTTACTGTAATGGCATCACATAGTAAGATTTCTGGGTATTGTTGAGTTTACATTTGAAGTTTGTGATGATAAATTTAATGTGAAGTCAACAAGTTTATTTATGGGATATTTTTCTAGAAAGCTTCAACCTTCCACAGAGGAGACATATTTAGATTTAATCATTTTCCATTATTTCAAGCAGCTACAATGGAGGGTGAGAACAAAGGAGGTTAGATTATTTCCAAGAGCGTAATTGAATGGCGGGCCATAGAATCTAAGCTTGACAGGAATAGAGTCAAGTAAAGAGAGGAATATATAATAGAATGAAGGGGATTCTTTCAGTGGCTTGGTAATCTTTAGGTCCAACAATTGTGACTGTACTAAGGATAGTTAAAAATTTGAGCCTGCAATTAGAAGGTGACAATCAGATAGTAGGATGTTTTGAATCTAAGTTTTAGAGGTGGGTCAACCATGAAAATGAGGTAAGTCAAAAACTGGGAGTTTAAACAAGAAAGGTTAAGTTTTGAGTAAAAGCTGAACTGAGTATTCAAGCATTTCCAGTTTTCCCAGCCATGGGATGCCCACTGCATGCAAATGACATTCTCATGAAAAATAAATGCATATAAGTGAAGTAATTAATAATTATAGGAGGGATACATATAGTATAATTTCTTAAATTAAGGATAAATCTGAGAAAAGTTTGGGAGAAGTTTAGACTTCAGACAAAGAATATGTTCAACAGAGAAATGATTTGAGATATGAATTTTTAGTCTGTAGGCTCCCACTGACTTTAGACAAATAATTTAATTAGGCAATAAGTAATTCATTTCCTTCTTGTCTCATCTGATGCACCTATAGACACAACTGCCTGGGAGGTACCTTGCATTAGAAAATGGACAGAAACTTATTCTGGTGCCCTTTATAAATTTGTCTGGGATTGGTGTAATTGTAGCAGTCTGCTGCTTGTATGGCACTTCCTGATGGTTTATATTGCACTGGAGGATTGAGTTCATCGGTAATAGATAGAAATGAGGAGAACAAATAGATAACAACTCTGGGCAAGCAGGGCAGGAGCTGTTTCTGCTGGGAATTTAGCACAGCTCTATTGTCTTGT